AATCTTGTTTACATTACGATCACTTAGTCACCTTCGTCTTTTGTCATTAACATAAAAACTGCTTCACTCTGAATGAGTCACATATCCCTTTGTGTGACAGGATCATTCATCTGTCGTTTCTGATTTCATGACGGTACGTCCCAAAATAATCTTCTCCGAAGTGTCGAGAGAGTCAACAACTCACAATTACACGAGAATCAAATACAGACCGCTAGTTCGCGATGACTTGGCGACCAACGTCATCATCGTCATGCACTGGGCTCTTTGGGTCACATGTGAAGTTTCCTAAGTGTTTTCATGAAAGGAAGGCACATGAGAATGTGCGTTGAAATGCTCCATTGATGGTCATGTTCGTAAAAACACCATATTGGAGCTCATTAATTGATGCGTTTGAGTTGTTTGTGGATATCAGCATAGTTAGCTGAGAAATACCTTTTTATGATGAAGAAACAATGAAACCATCGTGACCAATGTTTTGATTATGAGATTTTGCGCGGACCGCCTCCGAGCAACGTTGCGAAAAGAAGGAAAGAAGAGGTTTTATATTTGCTACTTCATTTGTTCTTGTTGCCACAGGCATGCTGCATAAAGTGAATAGATTTTCGGGCCTTGAGTAGACCTTCAATGCATACTATATGGTCATCACTACATTTTGATATTCCTGATCGATGAAACCCTTAATTCGCATCGGTCGATCGCTCTTCTGATTACCCCAAGAACATACTGGAGAGCAGTGGTTCAATCCAGCTTTCGTGTTATTGCAACGGCCCCTAGATTGCGTCGGCATCTTCCACACATATCAATTTTTGGTTTTGCCGATTACTGCGTGCGAATCTTCACTTTCTCCTGCTGATGTGATTTGCGTGAGCCCTTGAATGTCAAGCTCTAGATCGTATATGGCAACGCAAAGAGGTATACTTTTCATGCACACTATTGATCAAAAAATTATTTTCACTGTCAGTCTTTAACAGTCGATAATACAGGAGACGTACCCACGCATTAATACGCCTTGAGGCTTTCAGAAAGAAGCTACGCACTGCTATAACCTTGGAGGCCAATAAAAGTAATAGCTGGCAACGTGTGATCCTCTTTATCATCAACTTTTTTTCTTGACAAGCAGGGAAGGGTCCTATCTGACAAAAGCATATACTGGGCTGGCAAACTATCAGAAGGATGTCCAACGTCGTAAAAGTAAAAGCGTTCGCCTCACTTTTAGAAAACTACCAAACCTTGCCCTGGCATCGTGAACATTTACGACATGGCACTCGCTCTATGTTTTAAAGGGCGGGAATATAGCTAGTGACTTTGCTGGTACCGGATTCAGCAGGCAATTGGGGCTGTTCACA